TGTATAATATAGAGAGCAAAAGGTGATGAATTTAAAACAATATCAAAGATGGTGAAACAAACCATACACGTAGTATGCTCCTCACTTAGCGTTCAATTGTTTAATGCCAGCTCTTTGGAACGGAACTCCGTGTTAATGAGGGAGAGGCTTGTTTAAGGGTACTGTGTGTTGATGAGGCAGTGGTGCGGCATTCAAGGAGTGGGTGGAAGGGGGAGCAAGAGGGGTGTTTGGGGGCGGGAGGAGTTGGAGTGCTGGCGGGACAAGCGTGACCAAACTGGCGATACGCAAGTTTTATGCGGGGCGGAGAGGGGAGAACAGGTGAATAACTCGGAAATAATGGATGGTTAATTATTACGTGGGAACAGATCCGAGCAAATGTCTCAGGCAGGGCGGCTGTGATTGGGGGTTTACCCTGTTGATGAGATTGGGGTATTGAAGAATGGGGGAATTAGGGCGCATTCCATAATGAGAGTTTTGAAGCTCGTGTTGGGTACAGGTGGATGGTAGAGGTGGGTTATGGTCTAGGTGAGCAGCCTTTCAGCCTGTGTTTTGAGGGGCCAAACAGAGAGGAGGGAAACTCTAAAATTTACCAAGCTTGAGGTACATATATTGCTTTGTGTGTCAGGGATAGAGAGGTAGCAGTTTTACTCTATTACGGGATTGGCAATGGGTGTGTTTGCGGAATAGGTGTGGGAGAGACAAGGTTTACTTGTGAGATTGTTGGTTTGTAGACGCGATTGCCCGCTTATTGTTGGTTAACGATTATGCGAAGCGGAACTTGTGGTTGGGGTAGGCGAGATGTATGGGAGGGTGATGGGTATGTAGGGTACTGGTAAACATGAGTAATCATAAGATTAATGGGGCGAGTTGGAGCTGTAGTGGAGGATCAGAGAGGTGAGGGGCTGCTCCGGTTGCTCACAAATGATGATCATCTTTATAAGAATTTGGAGGGATTGCGTATGCGGGCAATAGGGTCAAGGCAGGGAGGTTAATTGGAGAGGTACTGTAATAGTGTGGTGCACAGAGTATCTTGAGGGGGTTGAGACTCCATATCACTTATCAAATGGACCCAATGCAGTGGGTATATTGTTGTAAATGTCCTCCTGTTTAGTATATGTGTGGTATGTTCGCTTCATTTACCTCTGACCTAGGGGAGGCGATAGGTCGCATTCATGCAAGGGTGTTTTTGTTTCTTATGGACATTCAGGTTGTATTAGGCTGAGGAGGGAGGTCGGTTTATTGTTGCTGGTGTGAGAAGGTGGATTTGGGGGTGTTCAACTGCACAAATGGTGAGGTGCGTATATGGTTAAACGGGGTGGTGATGCGGGGGCACAGAGCTTTTAAGGGGGAGGTGCCATATGGGGAAAGTGTGTATGAGGTGCTTAGGATGACTTTTCAGGTTGCGATTTTCGTGTGATTGGACTTGGTTTGTTGAAGTGATGATGGCAGTTATTGGAGCAAGAATGATCAGAGGTTACGGTGTGTAGAGGGCTTTTGTGGGACACAGAGGCTCCAGTCCGTCACTGGCACTTACCACAGATGTAGTGTATGATTGGCGGGGGAGAGATTTGGAGGTGGTTTTTCAAAGAGAGGCCACCTTAGGAAAATGTGAGGCGATGTTAGGTTTCCTATATCGGTTTCCTGCCCATTCGGGTGTTGGTGTGAGTGTAAGGGATTGAAGGGTTTGGAGTGAGTCTGTAGATTTGTGGGGGAGGATGTGAGTATGGCTTTTTCCATATTGTGTATTTTTGCAAGAGCCTGGAGGGTCTGAGCGGGATGGTCGCGTACTCAGTTTTATACTTAGGTGGTGGGGGGGAGGAGTGGATGTTCATTTTGAGGGAGCTCTGTCTGGACGTGTAGGTTTCGGAGACAGAGGCAAAGGGATTGGCGGAGTTTGGTTATGTGACTGTGGATTGTTTTTATCTTGTTAGGTGTATAGGGGGAGGGAGAGAGGAGTTGGAAAATAAGGCGTCGTATATTAGCAGCGAAAGATTTATCGATACCAAGTGTTTTTGTGTGTTGTGTATGGTTGTAAGTGGGAGTTAAGTGTTCAGGTGGTGATTGTAGACATCAGAGTAGGTGGTCTATTGGTGTTTGACCCAGGGGAAGCACCAGTCTCTGGTACGTGGCTCCGGGACGAGCGGTTGCCTTGAGTTAGTGTTTTTGGTGACGAGTGCAATTGTAAATTATGGTTGCAAATATAAGGGGCGAGTTGTTGATGGTGATATCAGACAGGCGTGCTATACGCATTGTGAATGGGTGTGTTGGATCATAACCTTCTAAGTGTGGATGGTTGTAGGATGCTGTGCAATGGTGAAGAGGTTGCTATGTACTACTGGATTATACATTATGTTTTGGCTAGGGCTGCTACGAAATGCGGCAACTTCTGCGTGATCATGGCATCACCTCTGTATTTGGTTGTTCTTTTTTTATTCTTGTAGAAATGATGGTGTATTTTTTTTATCATGTAATAATATACCTGTTAAGTAATTTATAGAGTTACACAAAATGTTTTTTGGTATGGAAGTGAATTTTTGTTGAGAACCTGACATGTTCTTATTGTGGTAGATATTGTTTACGTTGTGTTGAGTGGTCGGGATTGTGGTTGGGTTTGTTTTTGTGATATTAAGATGTCTTTACAGCTGATGTTACCACTGTGTGGTACCTTTACAATACGTTTTAATCACTGCATGTGTGTTAACGCTAAAAGTTCTGCCTTCTATGTTACACATTTACTTACAGATATGTATTCATTTAGTAGTTATTCGTAAAGTAGTTTGTATCCAAAGATGTGTACATTGTTAAGTCACTGTAGTGGTTGCATTTAGGTCAGAACTGTATTCATTAGGTGCATACATGCTTCCTTGTGGTGGAGGGAGGTGTTGAATCTATAGCTAATATTATTTGTTTCTGTGTTTTTGAGCTAACATACATACAGATTTTGTGTATTGTAAGTGTTAAATAAAAATAAAAAAATAAATATACATTAAGGAAAATTACCTATAATTCACGGTTTGTAGTATGTAGAGTAAAGTACTTAATCACTGTTCAACGAGATCATGTTTGCCATGTTGTTTTAGACGTATATTTTTGCGTTAATTTTGGTAGGTACTTGACATTACTACCTTATGCCTTATTTCAGTTCTTTCAAAGAATTTGCAAAGAATCTCAGTACTGGGTTGGCAGTCACTTTGCACAATACCTATTATGCTCTCCAATGTTTGAGAATATATTTTCAACACACAAGTGAATGATACACTGATGAGGATTTGTGATAGCAACAGCAACTTGAACTCTGACCTGAACGTGCTCTATACACTTTCATCTTCAATGAGGATGTAACTTATCTGTAGAGGTCATACGTCCACAGCCTACGAAATGGGAGGCAGTCAAGTTGGATTCAAGCCAGAAGATTTAGACTCCAAGTCCTTGGAATCAAGAAACTTTTTTCACTAGCTTCAGATACCCTTCCCTAGTGAGTATTGTCAACGAGGTTATTTGCTCTTTGCGGATATTCAAGAATGTCTCAAGTAGCGGTAAAAGATGTTAATGGATTAAACAAATGCATAAGAGGCAGTCGACATGAAATGCAATAAAATAAATTTTAGAAAAAGGCAGACAACAGGAAGGCAAGATGTGGGCTCAAGAGCTTTGAGCTCATAAACTTACTACAACAAGTCAATTAAGCAATTTGTACATTAACTCGATTAAGCAATTTCTACTAGGTAATTTAGTGCCCAAGGATTGTCATTATCATTATTATCATTATTTTCATTGGGAAACACCTAGGGAATCGTAAATAATCTGATTTATTCCAAGGAAGGACCAAGAATATGGTGCATAGAATGGAACATAATAGGATGAAAGTGATTTTCCAGGCTAGGTGGCATAGGAAGGAAAAGAATATTTTTTTGTATGCTTCTTACAAAGAAGTCATGTGTATCAGGCTAGTGGGAAGAGAAAAGTTATTTTTAAACGACTTAAATAAATAAGTCAGTGTTTTTTTTTTTATTGTTTGAATGTGTAATTTAATTAACAGAACAGTAAAGTCTCCATATAATAGTAATAGGGGAAGCAAGTGGCTGGTAATGACAGTCATAATGCACTGAGAAGAGCTTGCTTTGCTGTGATAGTGACAATAATTGACAACAGGCTTTGACTGTTGTTTACAAATCGGTTGACCCAGTGGATTTTGTTATTTCTGAAGTTTGTTACATAGAGGTCTGATATATGAAAAGTTTAGTGTCTAGTACAGCAGTGTACTTGAATATTTTTCTTTTATCTAATATTTTGGTGCATACTATTACTGACAATTAGATCACATGCTTCACTTAAGTACTATAGTATAAAGAATTGTATGCATAATCTCTTATTCTTTGCTCTCAAATCAAAAACTCATGAACAACTAAACTTTTTTAGGAAATATTAGTAATTGTAGTACAGTACTGTAATATACAGTGATATATCCCATATTCAGAATAATGAGTTCCTGGGGTGACTAAATTATAGAAATTCAACACCTCCACTAACTTAGGTTTTCAGTATGTAAAAATGGCACAGTTTTACTTTCTATCCCACCTCCACTAACCTAAGGTAGTGGAGGTGTTGAATTTCTTTAATTCAGTCACCTCAAGCACTCATTATTCTGAATTTATAAGGCAAATTATTTTATGTATCTATTCTATATACTGTAGTGCATTTTTTTTAAATACAGTTGAAAATGGGCATCCAAAATTGAATAGCATGTACTGTTAAGGTCTTTTGATGCGCTATTCAATTTAGGATGCACTCTTTCAATCACATTTATAAAATATCAGCCTTTACAAAGGAGCGTTTTTTAAGAAAGCTTACTCTATGAAAAAAAATGTACTCTTTTGGCATGTATTTAATTTTTTAGGGGTATTTGAGATCTCCCATGGTATTAATTGCACAATTTATTACAATACAGTATTTTATTTACGTAAAACATGAAAGGAGGATTAAAGGTTTTGTTTTCTTAGCAGAGCCAGCCATCAGGGGGGACAATTTCAGAGCAGCAAGCTGGAGTGTTAGGTCTTGTATCTCCTTCTACACCTAACAGCTTCACCTTCTCCACTACCTCTACTCACCATTCCCATATTGATCATCAGTACGTCAGGTGAGTGCGTTATCATTTACCATAGGATTTTTCTGATTAAAATTGTTACTGTCCAGTCTTATGTCTTATAATTTTCTAATTTGTGTTTGGAAATGTGTACAATTTACTTTCCCAAACATGGTCATTACAATGGATCAGTAATTTCCTTTGCAGTATATTGTGTAATTCTTGAAAGTATTAGTGTAGTTGAATACTTGACATTATATATATTTAGAGTACTGTATTTACCAAATGCAATATGTTTCTACCTAAATTTTCAGTATCAGTTGAACTCCCAAATATATATAAAGTTTTTCTTCTTCTCTTTTCTAGTAAATGTCTACAGGAGAAGGGGTTACTAGCCCATTGCTCCCGGCATTTTAGTCGCCTCATACGACATGCATGGCTTACGGAGGAAAGATTCTTTTCCACTTCCCCATGGACAATAGAAGAAATAAAGAAGAACAAGGGCTATTTAGAAAAAAGAGAAAAACCTAGATGTATGTATGTATGTATGTATGTATGTATGTATGTATGTATGTATATGTATATGTATATGTATATATATATGTATATATATATATATATTTTTTTTTTTATTATCACACCGGCCGATTCCCACCAAGGCAGGGTGGCCCGAAAAAGAAAAACTTTCACCATCATTCACTCCATCACTGTCTTGCCAGAAGGGTGCTTTACACTACAGTTTTTAAACTGCAACATTAACACCCCATATATATATATATATATAATATATATATATATATATATATATATATATATATATATATATATATGCATGCATGCATGTGCGTGTCTGTGAAGTGTGACCAAAGTGTAAGTAGGAGTAGCAAGATATCCCTGTTATCTAGCGTGTTTATGAGACAGAAAAAGAAACCAGCAATCTTACCATCATGCAAAACAGTTACAGGTTTCTATTTCACAGTCATCTGGCAGGACGGTAGTACTTCCCTGGGTGTTGCAGTTTAAAAACTGTAGTGTAAAGCACCCTTCTGGCAAGACAGTGATGGAGTGAATGATGGTGAAAGTTTTCCTTTTTCAGGCCACTCTGCCTTGGTGGGAATCGGCCAGTGTGTTAATAAAATATATATATATACATGTGTGTATATATATATATATATATATATATATATATATATATATATATATATATATATATATATATATATATATATATATATATATATATATATATATATATATATATATATATATATATATAATATACATACATACATACATACATACATATATTGGTTTAGAAAGACACGTAAGCAAACACTATGACATATTTATTAGAAAACGTTTCGGTCCTGGGACCTTGATCACTTCTAACATACAGAGGTAGAAAGGCATTATATATAGGTGGAGAGTGAGGTGTGACGCACGTGACCTGAGGAATGTCATAAGAACATAAGAATGGAGGAACACTGTAGAAGGCCTACTGGCCCATGCGAGGCAGGTCCTTATCAAAACAACCTCTGCCTATGATGAGGACGGGTAGACGATGAAATCATGTGACTCCTGTGTTGTTGGGTTGGTGGTGCTTAAGTATCATGTATGCCAATGTTTTTGAAATTTTGTAGTTTCCAGTGTTGCGTTCTATAGTGTCGGTGACGACAATTAGTGAGGCTTCTAGGCACCGTCGGCGTCTGAGGTCTGGTTCGGTGAGAACGAGTTGTGCCTCATTCCAGTTCATCAAATGTCCTGTGGAGTCTCTGTGGAGGACACAGGCGTACCTTACATCGTCTCTGTTAGAGGCATTTCGATGCTCATTCAGGCGGACTGCAAGATCTCTGCCTGTCTCGCCTACATATTTCTTGGGACAGAACCCACAGGGGATAGTGTAGACGCCTGCTGTAGAAGTTAGAGGTGTGGGGCTGCATTTCGTAGTGAGGTCTTTGATAGATGATGTGTTTATGGTGGAAACGTTGATGTTACCCATAGCAAGTGCCCGGCGAGTATTCGTGGCAACATCACCACATGGGAGTACTATGAACTGCTTAGGGGGCTGTTCCATGGGCGGTTTGTTGAGAATAGCTTGTGCCTTAGTCTGCAATCTCGGATGAAGAAAGATGGGAACTGAAGACGTGTAAAGGCTTGTGTTATGTAAGTGCATTCTTCTTCTAGGAAACAAGGGCTGGAGATGCGAAGAGCTCTCAAGAAGAAGCCAATGAGGACTCCTCTCTTAGTGCGGGTGTCTTGGTGTTAGAAGTGATCAAGGTCCCAGGACCGAAACGTTTTCTAATAAATATGTCATAGTGTTTGCTTACGTGTCTTTCTAAACCAACTTGTCGGTATTTATTACCAAGGTTTATACCATATATATATATATATATATATATATATATATAATATATATATATATATATATATATATATATATATATACATATATATATACATATACATATATATATATATATATATATATATATACAGTGGACCCCCGCATAGCGACCTTAATCCGTGCAAGAGGGCTGGCTGTTATGCGAAATGTTCGCTATGTGAATTAATTTTCCCCATAAGAAATAATGGAAATAAAATTAATCCGTGCAAGACACCCAAAAGTATGAAAAAAAAATTTTTTTACCACAAAAAAATGTTAATTTTAGTACACACAAACTGAAAAAGGCATGCACAATTACATGACACTTACTTTTATTGAAGATCTGGTGATGATTGATGGGATGGGAGGAGGGGAGAGAGAGTGTTAGTGTTTAGAAGGGGAATCCCCTTCCATTAAGACTTGAGGAGGCAAGTCCTTTTCTGGGGTTACTTCCCTTCTTCTTTTAATGCCACTAGGACCAGCTTCAGAGTCACTGGACTTCTTTCGCACAACATATCTGTCCATAGTGGCCTGTACCTCTCGTTCCTTTATGATTTGTCTAAAGTGGTTCACAACACTGTCATTGTAACAGTCACCAGCACGGCTTGCAATAGCTGTGTGAGGGTGATTTTCATCAAAAAAGGTTTGCACTTCAAGCCATTTTGCACACATTTCCTTAATCTTTGAAGTAGGCAATTCCTTCAATTTCTCTCTCCCCTCCTTTGAACCAGTTTCCCCAGGTCTGGCCTCTTGCTCTTGAAGTTGATCTATCAGCTCATCAGTGGTTAGTTCTTCATTGTCCTCCTCCACCAACTCTTCCACATCCTCCCCACTAACCTCCAACCCCAAGGACTTCCCCAATGCCACAATTGATTCCTCAACTGGTATACTCCTCTCAGGGTTAGCCTCAAACCCTTCAAAATCCCTTTTGTCTACACATTCTGGCCACAGTTTCTTCCAAGCAGAGTTCAAGGTTCTCTTAGTCACTCCCTCCCAAGCCTTACCTATAAGGTTTACACAATTGAGGATATTAAAGTGATCCTTCCAAAACTCTTTTAGAGTCAATCGAGTGTCTGTGGTCACTTCAAAGCACTTTTGAAACAGAGCTTTTGTGTACAGTTTCTTGAAGTTGGAAATGACCTGCTGGTCCATGGGCTGCAGGAGAGGAGTGGTATTAGGAGGCAAAAACTTGACCTTAATGAAGCTCATGTCCCCATAAAGTCGCTCTGCCACGTCTGTAGGATGACCAGGGGCATTGTCTAACACCAGGAGGCACTTAAGTTCTAATTTCTTTTCAGTTAGGTAATCTTTCACATTGGGGGCAAATGCATGGTGTAACCAGTTATAGAAAAATTCCCTAGTGACCCATGCCTTACTGTTTGTCCTCCACAGCACACACAAATTATCCTTGAGGACATTCTTTTGCCTGAACGCTCTGGGAGTTTCAGAGTGATACACTAATAAAGGCTTAACTTTGCAATCACCACTAGCATTGGCACACATCAACAAAGTAAGCCTGTCTTTCATAGGCTTATGTCCTGGGAGTGCCTTTTCCTCCTGAGTAATGTAGGTCCTGCTTGGCATTTTCTTCCAGAACAGGCCTGTTTCATCACAATTAAACACTTGTTCAGGTTTCAGTCCTTCAGTTTCTATGTACTCCTTGAATTCATGCACATATTTTTCAGCCGCTTTGTGGTCCGAACTGGCAGCCTCACCATGCCGTATCACACTATGTATGCCACTACGCTTCTTAAATCTCTCAAACCAACCTTTGCTGGCCTTAAATTCACTCACATCATCACTAGTTGCAGGCATTTTTTTAATTAAATCCTCATGCAACTTCCTAGCCTTTTCACATATGATCGCTTGAGAGACGCTATCTCCTGCTAGCTGTTTTTCATTTATCCACACCAATAAGAGTCTCTCAACATCTTCCATCACTTGTGATCTTTGTTTCGAAAACACAGTTAAACCTTTGGCAACAACAGCTTCCTTGATTGCCGTTTTCTTGCCCACAATAGAAGAGATGGTTGATTTGGGTTTCTTGTACAACCTGACCAGGTCGGTGATACGCACTCCACTTTCATACTTATCAATGATCTCTTTCTTCATTTCAATGGGAATTCTAACCCTTATTGCTGTAGGGTTGGAACTAGAAGCTTTCTTGGGGCCCATGGTCACTTATTTTCCAGAAACAGCACCGAAAACACTGTAATAATACGAAATATTCCGATTGTATGCTTGAATGTTACCGCGGAGGCTGGCTGGTAAACAATGGCACAGGCGGCACATGTGAGGCTGGCTGAGGGCGCACATTGGACGCGTCTCGGACGAAGGCCGCTGAGCGGGTTTTTGTCCACTATGCGGGGCAAAATTTTAGCGAACAAAGCGTCCGCTATGCGGATTGTCCGCTATGCAAGGTGTCCGTTATGCGGGGGTCCACTGTATATATATATATATATATATATATATATATATATATATATATAAAATATATATATATATATATATATATATATATATATATATATATATATATATATACATATATAATATAATATATATATATATACATATATATAAATATATATATATATATATATATATATATATATAATATATATATATATATATATACATACATATATATATATATATATATATATATATA